TATAGAGTGAACATGTATTTGATGTACTGCTAAAAATGCATAGAAGCATTTTATACACCTTTACAACAAAAAATTATACAAAGAAACTTACGATGCGATTCGTAATTAATGAAAATATAAATCCCTGTCTGAGACCTTGTGAAATATATCTGAAAAATATCGCGCGCTGATTGGCTGGCCGGAATGTATCAAAATATTTGCCTTCAACTTCATACAAAATGAAATGATGTTTCAACAGGTTCCAATAATGTACGTTTAAAAGGCAAACGTGTAACAGAGCTTATCAAAGTGTTAGGGGTTTCGGAAATGTTACAAAAAAAGGCCTTATATAATCAACAACTTTCAAAAAATAATCGACTGAGATTATAAGACCCTTAATTTCTCTTTTGAAGATTAAGATGCCAAGATTTTCCCACATTCACCATGGCTGAAACTGAGCAATAACACTTCGCTATGAAAGCAGACAATCGTAAAGCCTTATTGAACCAATTATCTGTAATTGGTGTGTTCCATCATTTTCATATTGTACTTCCAAACGTACATAACAATGATATTTTACAGCCAAACAATTATAATCCCTGACCAGTGAAATTCTAGATACAGAAAATCATATAACTGTGTATTTCTTATTTTGCAAAATGATTCATTATTATATCTTCCTTTCTTAGCTTAAAGATGCACAGACGGAGAAAAAAAGAAGGAAGAGAGAGAGGGAGGGAGAGAGAGAGAGAGAAAGAGAGAGAGAGAGAGAGAGAGAGAGAGAGAGAGAGAGAGAGAGAGAGAGAGAGAGAGAGAGAGAGAGAGAGAGAGAGAGAGGGAGGGGCACACACACACACACACACACACACACACACACACACACACACACACACACACACACACATACACACAGAGGCAGACACAGAGAGAGAGAGAGAGAGAGCGAGAGAGAGAGAGAGAGAGAGAGAGAGAGAGAGAGAGAGAGAGAGAGAGAGAGAGAGAGACATACAAACAGACAGAGAAAGAAAGAACGAAAGGGAGACAGACACAAAGGGAGAGAGAGAACAGCTTGCAAAAATCGTGTATCGAACACCTGTCACTTTGAAGATACCGATTCACGCACTGCTAGACACAGTCCAGCCCCCTTTACCTTTCATTGCAATTAATTAAAGCAAGGTAATCTTTGTTAAATATAAGTGTTCTAATTAATATATGTGCCGGTTTCATTTCTGTGGCCTTTTTATCTCTGTGTTAAGGAGACGGAAGCGATTGATAACGATTACGAAACGAAATTAGCGTTAAAATTATATAAAATATAATGATAACATTAGTAATTATGATAATGATGATGATCTTAATAATGATGTTGAGAATAACAGTAACGATAAAGATGATAATGATAACAGTAATGATAATGATAATAATAATAATAATAATAATAATGATGATAATAATTGTAATGACAATAATAATAATGATAATAATAATAATAATGATAATAATAATAGCAGAAATAATAATTATGATAATAATAACGTTAGTAATAATAATAATAATAATAATAGTAATAACAATAATAATGATAATAACAACAGCGATGATGATAAGAATTATAATGATAATGATAATGATTATAATAAAATTATGATGATAATATCAACAGCGATAATGATAATAGTAATAGTAATGATAATAATAATAATAATGATTGTTATGATAATAATGATAATAGCAGTGATAGTAATAGTAATGATAATAATGATAATGATAATGATAATAACAGCAATATGCTAATTCTAATGATAAGAATAAGAATAAGAATAATAATGATCAGAATAATACTAACGATAATATGGTTATGATAATATTGATAAAGATGATATATAATAATGATAACAATAATAGGGATAACAATAATAATGATAAAAAACCATTACAATTATAACATTAGGGATATCAAAAATAATAATAATAACAATAATAATGATAATAATAATGATAATAATAATAATAATAACAATTTCAATAGCAATGATGATAATAATAACAACAATAATAATAATAATAATAGTAACAGTGATAATAATAACAGTAATTTTAGTAGTAATGACAATAGCAATATTACTAATAATGGTAATAATAATAATGATAATAATAATAATAATAATAATAATAATAATAATAATAATAATGATGATGATTGGGGCAGCCGATAATGTTATGAACGTCCTTGAAAAGAGTATGACGAAATGAAAGGTACAGCTGAACGTCGGAGATGAAGTATTAGGGAATGTCAACATCAAAAGTGGAATATTCCAAGGAGACAGCCTCATACCGATGTCACTGATTTTGAGAAAGATGAAACCTGGATATAGTTTGGGAAAGAACCAGCCAAAATTAAATCACCTTCTATATATGGATGACTTAAAGTTATTCGGACAGAGTGAAAGAGACATAGAATCACTTGTGAATACAGTTCATAGACAGTTGTGACATTGGCATGCAATTCGGTATAGAAAAATGCGGTGTAATCATAAAGTGTGGAAAAATGGTCACCTGTGATGGAATTGAACTACCAGATGGAGAGAAGATGAAAGGCGTCAAAAAAGAAGGTTACAAGTACTTGGGTATAGTAGAACTAGATGGGATAAAGGAGAAGGAAATGAAAGAGGGATTCACGAAGGAATACAAGCTAAGGATTAAACTTGTATTGAAATCAAACTTGAACAGCAGGAATGCCATTTCAGCAATGGATATTTGGGCAGTAGCTGTGATGAGATATGGGGCTGGGATAGTGAAGTGGACGAAAGAGGAACTGGAGAAACTAGATAGACAGACACGGAAAATTATGACAATGAATGGAGCGTTGCATCCAAAAAGTGAGTTCGATCGATTGTATGTTGCAAGACAGAGAGGTGGAAGGGGATTGCAAAGAGTATTAGAAACGATCCAGTCAGAGGAAAATAGCCTTAGATGGTATGTTAAAAACAGCCAAGGGCAATTATTAAAAGCAATACATAAACAACAGAAAATGAACAATGACATCATTAAAACATCAGAGTATACAGATCATAGAAGAGAAAGAGAAGTCAAATGACATGAAAAAGTAATGCATGGTCAGTTTTTCAGAGATACGGATGGGATAGTAGACAGGAAGAAATCATGGTTATGGTTAAAACGGAGACTTGAAGAAAGGGACAGAAGCACTGATTATGGCGGCACAAGAGCAAGCAATACGTACGAATTACGTCAAACATCATATCGACAAATCAAAAGATTCGCCGACCTGTAGAATGTACGGTGAGAAGGGGGAAACAGTGAGCCATATCATATGTGAGTGTAGCAAACTAGCCCAGTAGGAATGTAAGCAACGCCACGACAACGTAGCACGGATAGTTCACTGGGAGATATGCAAGAAGTATTACCTACCCAGGACAGAACAATGGTACAATCATAAGCCAGAAGGCGTTACTGAAAATGAAAGCATTAAGGTACTGTGGGACTTTAACATAAACACAGATTACGAAATTGAGCATAGGCGACCAGACATTGTCGTCGAGCTAAAATCAGAAAAAGAGTGCTTGATCATCGACATAGCCGTGCCAGGAGGTACAAGGATAAAACAGAAAGAACAAGAGAAAATCGAAAAGTATCAAGATTTAAAAAGAGAAATCGCAAGGTTATGGTGCCTTCGAAAAGTAAGTGTCATCCCAGTTGTAGTTGGTGCATTGGGATGTGTCACAAAAGAAGCAGTGCAGTACATAGAGAAAACAGGGATCAAGATCAGGACTGAAGTGATGCAGAAAACGGCGTTGTTAGGAACTGCAAGAATATTGAGAAAGGTTCTCGAAACCTGAGGCTAGTTGTTCTAGCTTGCTTTCGGGAAGAACTTACCAGGAACTGTGATAACATGATAATAATAGTAATAATTATAATGATAATGATAATAATGAGGATGATAATAACAATAACAATAATGATAATGATAACAGCAATAATAATAAACATTGTAATGTTGATAAGTATGATAATAGCACTGATAATAATAATAACAAGAGTAATAATAATAACAATGATGATATTAATTATGATGACGATGATAATGATAATAATAATGATAATAATAATAATAATAATAATAATAATAATAATAATGATAATAGTAATAATAACAATAATAATAAAATAACGATAATAATAATAATAATGGTAATAATAATAATGATAATGATAATAATAATATCATTATTATTATTACCATTATTCTAACAATAATAATAATAATAATAATAATAATAATGATAATAATAATAATAGTAATGATGATAATAATAATAATAATAATAATAATAATAATGATAATAGTAATAATAATAGTAATAATAATGATAATAATAATGATAATTATTAGTATTATAATGATAGTGATAATGATAATAATAATAATGATAATGGCAGCAGTAAAAGCAATGAAAAAGTGATCACAGCAAATAATTGATAATGATGATTATAAGGATGATAAATAAAGTAAAACTAAACAAATAACAGCGAATATTTTTTTTTTTTTTTAATATGAGATGCGTTGCAGAGACACTAGTATTCCGTTGTTATTTATCTCCATTACCTTAAAACAGCAATACCATTTCAAATATTATATATATTACGTATTTCAACGAAATCATTAATATTCAAATATTAGATTCCATGTTATAAATAGACTGACAGACAAAAAAATGATAAGGTATTGATGATAAATGACACCATTAGAGTTTTGCGAAATATCCAGCGTGTTTTGACCCTCGCGGCGATGTCTGCGACCCACGTGTTTCTACGTACGGGTTGCGTAGTCTATATATTATAATAAAACGACTCCTTTAATATCAAGAGTAGACTTTTTGGGCTTATAATTATCAGAATTCTATTATATAAGCTAAAATGAGTGAATTCTCTGCCGTTCTTCTAAAATCATCAATATAAAATCCACGATGCGACCCGGTTTTAACGTTCTCTGTCGCATTCGTGTTGTGGTGATCATATGGTCGAGTGTATCGCTGAGGGAGACACGACACGAGACTGTGACTCGTTAGTATTCAGTGTTTTTTATAAGTTTTGCTTGCTTCGTTAGAGATTATTACCGTTGATTTTTAACTGCGTGTCATATTTTTACCCGTTTAAAGTAGTGTTAGTTATTCATGTTGGATTTTATCAGCCTTGCAGTAGTGGATTGTCTGATCGCTATGGTTCTACATGCATTATATATAGAATTAACACGCTTTCAGATATTAATCAAGTAAGTGATGAAACTGGATCTATTGCAGCTTCAGATTTTGGTTTACGGGTTTGGCTTCATTGAGAGTGAGTGCGTGAGAGAGAGAGTGAGAGAGTGAGTGAGTGTGTGTGAGTGTATGAATGATTTACTATAACATTTATAGACAGGATCCATATCTTAGAACACTGAATTTGTTATCACTGAATTCCTCTTGATGTCGAGCTTACATTTCCAGTGGTGTTATTTGATGTTAAATATCAACAGTGCTGGTACAAGACCTAATATGTACAGAGGACATGAGATATCATCGGGAATTGGTATGGCTAGAGTGTGTGGCATTGGTAAAGACCAGCAAGATTAGTCAGGTCTGAATAATGTACCCTATAATTAAGATCATAAACCAGCTAAGATGAGTGCACCCATTCCCGAGTTACTGTTCATGTAAAAGGGAGTTTCTAGATATCCATATTACACTTAGGCTATCTATTAATCCTGTTGACACTGATAGAAGTTGATTGATACCAAATTTGATGGGTTTTTAGATGTGGACTGGTCTAGAAGAATGCTTTCTCATGTATTTTGAAGTGATTTGGAGAAATTTAAGACCCATGATAAATTTGGGTAATGAATGGAAAGAGTAGGTATGCCTTGTGCAATATATATGATTTTTTTACCATTTACTCATCATCATGTATTGTTTGCAGTGTGTAGTTGCAGTTGTCTTCATGTTCACTTTTATCCTGGTGGAATAGAGCTTGGATTGTTTCCTTAAATGATGTTAAAACTCTGTGAATAGCGTTAATCATACATTAAAAAAAAATAGTATTCATGTTGGAATCTTTTCTGGAGTGCTGACAAGGACAGAATCCAACCAGATCAATGCTAGGTCAATGACAAGACATGTGGGGGTCTTCTAAATATATACTCTTACTTTTTAAAAGCTATATGTTTGCAGATTATCTCTATTCATAGGTTATTTTTTGTGTAATGTAATCTCTTTTGATTACCTTTATAATCTTTGGCTATATCTCAAAGTAAGCAATATTTTCTGAGTTTCAATGTTGAACGACATTTATAAGATTTTATTTACCTTGACTAATTTTTCTGATGTTTTCAGTTGAACACAAGAATGATCTCAGGCATTTGGAAAATCACAAAGTGAAAATCTAACTATGAAGGGACCTTCGCCATCAGAGGAAAAGATGTCATCAAATACTACCCCTCATTCAGAATCTCAGATGGTTCCGTCTGCGCTTGAATCATCATCAAGTCAAAATATATCCAACAATCCTGGAGAAACTGATAGTAACACAACAATGGAAGTAGTCTCCACCAAGTCTGCCAACTCAGCATCAACAGAAATCTCTTCAACCAAGGAACCAAGTGTCAGCACAGAAATTACAAGTCCAGTAAAGGTAAATCTGTCTTTTGTTTCTTAGATTTTTTTTTTCTTTTTCTGTAATAATCCAAATATTGGGATGAATATATGACATTTCAAGTATGTTAATGAAAATCAAAGTTTTGGACTATTGTATGTATTTAGAGAAGTTGGTGCATGCTATGATACATATTGTCAACCTTTCCAGCCTACTGAAGCTAATGGTAACACAATAATGGAAGTAACACCTGACATCACTGCAAATCCAGCATCAACAAATGTCTCGTCAGGCAATGAATTGAATTCTAGTAAAGGTCATGCAAATGGTATTAATAATCCAAATATTGGGATGAATATATGACATTTCAAGTATGTTAATGAAAATCAAAGTTTTGGACTATTGTATGTATTTAGAGAAGTTGGTGCATGCTATGATACATATTGTCAACCTTTCCAGCCTACTGAAGCTAATGGTAACACAATAATGGAAGTAACACCTGACATCACTGCAAATCCAGCATCAACAAATGTCTCGTCAGGCAATGAATTGAATTCTAGTAAAGGTCATGCAAATGGTATGAATGTTGCAGAAACTACAAATTCAGTGCAGGTAAATATATCATTTGTTTCTCAGATTTAGTTTTTTTTTTTCATTGATGATAATTCATATATTGGAATACATTTCCAACAGTTGTAATATGGTGATCAAATTCCTAGTTTTGGAGTGTGTTTTTAGAGAAAGTAAATGATTGCTGTTATCATACTTTCATTCATTTGTACGCCTTTATAATTATTACTATAGTAGGTGTGGGATATGAATTAATGTAAATAAAGGATTTTTTTTTTTCACAAAATGTAGTATACATCTTTGCATTTCAGAAAGAAGCAAACCATAATATAATCAGCAGTGCCCTGACATCACTCTCAGGCTATGGGCAGTCTGATAGTGAGGATGATAGCATGGAAGAAGACCCAGCCCCTGCCCCAGTCCTTCCCACAAATACAACCACCTTGCTTACTAGAACATCCACAGATAGCACTCAGTTAAAGTCAACCTTACCTCATCAGTCTGTTAATGATGGCAAGGTGCAGCAGGTGTCACAGCTTCCCCAGCGTAATGAAGATCAGAGCAGTAATAGCAGCCAGAACAAAGAGCAGACCTTTACCAGTATTGCATCAAGGAACATGACCAATCCTGAGGTGGAGGTTTTGGGTGTCGTCAATACAGGGAATTACAGATACACAGTTGATGTTGGTAGTGGAACCGATGACTCAGAGAGTGACTCTAACATGTCATCATCTTCATCATCCTCATCCTCATCCTCGTCATCTTCTGATAGTGAGAGTGACTCTGAAGAAGTAGTACCCAAGAATCCTGTTGTCGAACAGGTTCAAAAGTAAGTGAATTTGAACGTGCCAATATATGATTTTACGTTTGTTGGTCTTGCAGAAGTATTGACAGAAATGAATGTTGATTATAATTACTTTTTTCTTTCTTTCTTTCTTTTCTTTTCTTTTTCATTTCTATGTTCCTTCAAGGAAACCTTTTCATAAGCATTTAATTTACATGTAAATTGAGTGTGATTAAGAAAGAGCATAAGTGGTTTATAATACTGGAGCTACAAATCATATAGATCATATGAATGGTCATAATTAGTTTAGAAATTTTTCATATAACCTTTATTGTCATGGGTACTTTAGTGCACATATGTGAGTATATATGAATATATATGTGTATGTGTATGTGAATATTTAAGAAGAAGGATTTGAAGAAAAAGTTCATCAAGCAATTGGTGTTAATGCAACTTCTTAGTGTATGAAGGTATAATGAGTTATTTCAGAAAATTATTCACTAAAGAAATTGATAATGATGACGTGTTTCAGGCCCAAAATAGTGAAGCAGAACAACCAAAAACGAGGTATCTTGTGCACCCAGGGAGAGCTTTTGTTGGAGGACCTGCCACCTATCGAGGATTTGTATATATCGGTGCCGGAAGAGCAAGCACATCCTATTGGTACTGTCTTTAGCATTGTTGAACAGCAAGGTAAATGTGCCTTTTTGTTTTCTCTTTTTAGTTAATATTTTTTTAAGCTCTGCTTTTTTTCTCATCATCTGAGATTAATTCGGTTTTTACTTTTTTTTTTTTTGGGGGGGGGGCTCTTCCTGTTTTTCATTTTCTGGCATTTCCCTTTCTTGTTTTCTCTGAATTGTGCTGGTGACTTATCCTTGTTTTCTCCATCTTACCCTCAGTGGTGGTCCAGGGCTTTCCCAACATCCCACCCATAGACCTAGACTCGGTGCTCTTCCTGGAAAAGGGTCAGCGGGCTCTGGGACAGGTCTTCGACGTGTTTGGCCCAGTGCAGGAGCCGCTGTACGTGGTGCGCTTCAACTCCTCCGAACACATCAAGGAGTTCAAAGTTAACAAGGGCGATCATGTCTACTTTGCTCCTACGACTGAACATACGAGCTTTGTTGTCGTGGATGAGTTGATGAGGTGGGTGTGGATTGTGTCATCTTGATCGTCATTGTCACTGACATCATCCCGGTTATTATGATTTTAAAACTACTTCTGTTTTATTATTTTGTAGTGTTAGATATAGCATGCCTTTTCGTATTCTGTTATTATGTTGGTGTGTTAGTACTGGTATTATTTTTTATTACTGATTGCTTATGATAATTTTATTACTGATAATTGGATAATTTTATTTCATTAGAGTACGCTTGAGACACTTTTGCATGTAATATATATATTTTATAATTAGATTTTTCTTTCATATCTCTTCCTTGCATTTTTATTAAACATTTTATCACCTTTGTCAATTGTTCTGAAAATTATTCAGTTTTGTTGAGATCCAGTGTAGAGATCCATGAGGCTGATGAATACTATCTTTTCACACCTAGAATGAAGGGAAGTGACGCTTCGGGGATGCAGAACAATGAACCTCTGCCGTCAGAACATGTGGACTTCTCCGACGATGAAGAGGAAGCGAGGGTCATTAGGGAGAATCGACAGAGCAAGGTAAGTAGCCAGTTTTTAATTCCCAGGACTGCGATTCCTTTCTTTTTAGCCTTTTGCCTAATTTATATCCCTCTGTGTAGAAAGGGGGGTAACTGGCCTTTTTAGCAGTAGTCAGAAAATAATAATACAGCATTTAAAAAAGAGAGGTTTTGATGACTTTTAGTAAAGTTTGATACTTGAAATAGTTGAGAAATATGAATTTCAGTATGGGGAGAAAAAATAATTAGATTGTAAAAAAAGAGAGATCTCAACAAAATAATATTCAAAACCCAAAAGAATCCAAATTAGAATCTCGGTTCAAATTATCTTAAGGAAATGCCAATTTCCTTGCCTTACCTGCTCCTTACTTTTTCATTTATAATTTGTGAAAGTGTAATTAAAAAGGAGGAAAACGAATTGCATATTACCACATGAAGCAGCTGTTGTGGTTTGCCTCAAGAATTTGTTGCAATAACTTCAGCCTTGCTTTTTAGAGCAAGAGATTAGGAATAAGAGACCTGATGTACATAATAGATAATTATGATTGGTGTTATTTCTACACCCTAAATTTTTTGCACTTTGACACTTTGCTAACCAATGCTATAAGCCATATTTTCCTTGTTCATAATATTTGACCAATTTTCAGATAATCCTTAAATGTATGTTGATTTACATTACTGTGTCTTTTTATGATGGTTGGTGTCAGTTCCTGTCTGGCAGTATTACGGTAATAGGTTATTTCCCTAATAGACCTGTTAGTAGATATGTAATGTTTTTATCTTTTGTCTTGCTTCCAGTACACATCAGGCACAGGCGAGTACCAGTCACAAAAGAAACGCATTCGTGGGCAAAATGCTGCAAAAGACGGCATGGAAGGTCATGGGCCAAAGCCTGGTCAGGGTCGTGGAGAAGGCAGGAGCAATGGGCGTGGTCCTAATCCCTTCAGCGATATGAGAATGCCCATGAGACCCTCAAACCGCTTCTGCTACCCTCACCCGATGCAGCCAAGGTTTGGTCCCCGAGGACCTCCCCAGTTCCCCATGCGGCCTCCAGGACCAATGCTAGGGCCCTCTGGCTTTGCAGGACCTCCTGACATGGGAATGGGCATGCATAACAATATGCATGGGCCTCCAGGTATGCCAGTGGAGCCTTTCTTGTATGATCCAAATACCCACACTCAGATGGACATGAGTGCAGGGCCTGTGATGGAGGCTGAGGGATTCTCTGGTGGATTACCTCCACCTCCTGCAGCAACTTCTTGGCCTCAGCCACCACAGTTCCAGTTTGGGGGACCACCACAATTTGATGGTCCCAGGGGATCTGGCTGTTATCCTCCTCCACCACCTCCTCCCCCAGGTGTGACTGGGCCCTCAGGATACCACATCCCTCCTGGTCACTTCCAAAACATGGGTCCCCCAAGGCCAATGAAACCTCCCCTTCAACACCCTCCAGCCTCAGGTGGCCCCACAATGGAGAATGGTGATGGGATGGCTGGCTGGGGCCCCCCTCCAGGAGCGCCACGCCATCCCCCTCCCCCTCCCCACATAGCCAGCCAGCTGCCTCCCCCCCAGATGCCCTATGACAACTCTCAGGTACCTCCCCCACCCATGCATCCTCCTCCCCCTCGCAATGCCAATCCTCCTTGGAAGAAGTTTTAACTTATGTTGTTAATTTTTTTTACTGATTTTGTGATAGGCTTCTATATTAATGGAAAATATATTGGCAACAGGAACCCTGAGTTCAAAAAAGAAAAGAAAAATGTATTGTGTATATTATTGCTATGTATATAAAGATACCTACCTATGGATATAGATTTATTTTTCAGTATTTGCTTTGAATCTGTGCCGCATTTGCAGCGATGAAAAAACCCATATACAGACATCCTCATTTTAGATGTTGTGTTGCATTGTAGTTTTCAGACAGAGCACATTGTTCACTGCATTGCAATTTATGATCTCAATTTTAATTTAGTTACACATAAGACTTTTACAGTAATGGATGACCATACATCTTATAGAATCATACATTTGTTCTGGCATCATAATCAATTTCTTGTTATTAACTCATTCTCATAGGAAATCTTAAAATGAATATTTAATATTATTCTACTTGTAATTCCACCAAATTTTATTAAAAACAGTGTAAGTAATCGACCAATGGAAGATGTGGAAAATATTGTTTTTAAATAAGAATTTATTGTAGATCATTACATTGTATTGTCATTGAATGTAAAATTGATAAGAAACGATCAATCTCCAATTTCCGTGTTTGTACTATTTTTGTTATATATGTTTAAAATAATATGAGCTTCTGGTACTTAGCTCAGTGTATCTTGTTGATATTTGTAAATACTCTGTATGAATAAGGTGAAATAAAAAGAAAAAGAAAGGAAGTTTTTCAGTTTTATTAAACAGAAGCTTGAGTCTTTCAGAATTCCTCACAAACCTTAAAGATTGTGACAAACCATAACTTTAAAAACTGCATTACTGGTGCAATTAATATTTCATATTATGGCATCAGTTGTCTGAAAGTAAAAAATGCCCAACTTTCAAAGAATTCCTGAAATAAATATTACCACATGATAAAGGAGAGATACAAAAGAGAAAAAAAATCAACAAGTAAAAAAGATATTTACAATATTCCCGTTTTTTATGAATCCCGAATTTCTGTCCTCTCGTAAATAGAAATAAATGAGAATATAAAATACCAAAATGTATATTTGGTATAAATTAAATTTAGAGTAAATAATGGATTGTTTTAGAAAAAATATAAAAACATTTGCCATTATTCAGTAATTAATATGCAGTAATATTTTTCATTGGGTTTGGTTTATAAATAGGAGAAAATTTATAAATTAAGGGTTTTGATAAATAAATACGCGAAGACAATAAATACTGTACATTACACTAAAACTAAACAGCAGTTACGCAAGCTACTCAGTTTAGAGCTTTTTGTGATTTCACGTCGAATTTCTGTTAAAGAATTTTATATACACTCACTATGAGTGTTGTTTACACTTTAAAAATGTGATACGGACAGAAAATATGCATAAAAAAATATACAGAATGAATAACTTCGCAGTGAATTTAACGTAATCGACATGTTTCAATCTTCATCTAAAATGGAAACCCGATGAACATTAAATTGAAACACGTCAATAGATCGTGTTATTCATTCTAAAATTCTCTACATCTGTCACGGTGAACTTTGTTCAAAACTGCATAATTTTCATTATGCAATAAATCAACGAGTCAATGGTAGTTAATTAATAATATAAATTCTCCGTAAAAATGCTCTTAAACTCAAACACAACACTCACTCGCCCAAAAAAAGGTATGTACACTTTTACACATTTCAACATTTCTCAACACGTTCGCAACGATTTAAAAAATCAAAATCAACAGGCTTGATTAACTGTCAGTAAATCCAGGCCAAGAGATGCATTGTCCACGTCCTTGCTGAAGAACCTGCGTGCGTCGCCTGCTCCTGTTCCGACCCCTACCGATACCAGCCGAGGAGGTACTGCAGCAGCGTCACCGTCTTGCGAACCGGGGGCTTAGGCGTCGTCGTCTTGGGCACAGGGCAGTCGGTCTCGTAGTCGAAAGCGAAGCGGAGGCGACGCGAGGCATTATCCATGGTGCGAATCGACACCCTCTCGACGTCCTTGAAGCGTTCTGTTCGTGGGAAGTCATTGAGAAAATTGGTGTTAAGACTATGAAACTTTTTGTGATTTTGAAAATATACCTGTCGATTAAATCATGATACTGTGTCACTTGCAATGTTTACTTAGCCTTTTATCTAGCACGAAGGAAAAAAGAAAATATCTTACCATCCTCTATATTTTCGTCCTTGAATACGTTTTCGCCTCGAAGCCGACTTCCGCAGATGATATTCTCACGCACTTTAAGGAAGGCTCCTCCGCATTCCTCCTCGGGCGTCAGATCGATCACTTCCTCCTCTGCTTCTGTTTCCTGGTTGTTACTTTCAGGTTCCTCGGCAACGGTCGGTTTGTCACCTTCAGCCTCCGTTTCCTTGCTTGGTTCAGTGGCCGCTTCGATGGCTTCTGTAACTGGGGCATCGTCAACGGCCTCAGGTACGACGTCCACTGGTGTTTTGTCGCCGTCTGTGGGCATGATGACTTCTACGACACCCACTACATCTGCAGACTCTACACCGTTCTGATCACCGACGTTTGTTTCTTCTTCTCCTGGCATAATGACTTCAACGACGGAGGAGACACTGTCCGTTTCCACGCCAATTTCTTCCTCCATTGCAGCTGCGTCTTTGAGGGTGTTCTCCGCGGCGTTCTCCTCAGCAGTCGTCGTTCCAGCCGAGTCGCTTCCCTCCTCAGCGACACTCCCTGCGGCCCCCGGCATGATGACCTCCATGACTGACATGACTTGGTCGTCTTCCACCGCGCCGTCATCAGAACCCGCTGCAGCACCGTCACCCGTGGGCATCACCACCTCGACGACGCTCACGACGTCATCCGAGGCAAGACTGCCCACGTCTTCCACTCGAGTTCCCGAAGAGGCGTCGTTCTTGTCCTTGTCCTTGTCCTTGTTGTTCTTGTTGTTAGAACCGAACCCGATGCCGGAACTGATGACGACCTCCGGGGGGATGAGGGGCGCGGCGACGCCTTCGCTCGGAGCAGGATCGTCGTCGCTGAGGATGAGCCACTCGACCTGCGAGCCACTCTCCTCCTGGGGGCTCGCGGAGGTCGGCCCGGAGGCAGCTGGGGGGGCGGCTGTCTGCGGAGTAGCTGTTGTAGAAGAGGTGGTTGTGGTTGCAGATGTGGTGGTAGTTGCAGGCGTGGTTGTAGTTGCAGATGTTGTAGTTGCTGGAGTTGTAGATGTTGTGGTAGTTGCAGGGGTTGTAGTTGCAGATGTTGTAGTTGCTGGAGTTGTAGATGTTGTGGTAGTTGCAGGCGTTGTGGTAGATGTCGTGGTAGTTGCAGGGGTTGTAGAAGTTGTGGTAGTAGCTGGCGTTGTTGAAGATGTGGTAGTTGCAGGCGTTGTTGAAGATGTGGTAGTTGCAGGAGTTGTTGTAGATGTCGTGGTAGTTGCAGGCGTTGTTGTAGATGTCGTGGTAGTTGCAGGCGTTGTGGTAGTTGCAGGAGTTGTAGATGTCGTGGTAGTTGCAGGCGTTGTTGTAGATGTCGTGGTAGTTGCAGGAGTTGTTGTAGATGTCGTGGTAGTTGCAGGAGTTGTTGTAGATGTCGTGGTAGTTGCAGGCGTTGTTGTAGATGTCGTGGTAGTTGCAGGCGTTGTTGTAGATGTCGTGGTAGTTGCAGGAGTTGTTGTAGATGTCGTGGTAGTTGCAGGAGTTGTTGTAGATGTCGTGGTAGTTGCAGGCGTTGTTGTAGATGTCGTGGTAGTTGCAGGAGTTGTTGTAGATGTCGTGGTAGTTGCAGGCGTTGTTGTAGATGTCGTGGTAGTTGCAGGAGTTGTTGTAGATGTCGTGGTAGTTGCAGGCGTTGTTGTAGATGTCGTGGTAGTTGCTGGCGTTGTGGTAGTTGCAGGAGTTGTTGTAGAAGTTGTGGTAGTTGCAGGAGTTGTTGTAGAAGTTGTGGTAGTTGCAGGAGTTGTTGTAGAAGTTGTGGTAGTTGCAGGAGTTGTTGTAGAAGTTGTGGTAGTTGCAGGAGTTGTAGATGTCGTGGTAGTTTCAGGAGTTGTGGTAGTTGTTGTAGAAGTTGTGGTAGTTGCTGGCGTTGTTGTAGATGTGGTAGTTGCAGGCGTTGTTGTAGAAGTTGTGGTAGTTGCAGGAGTTGTGGTAGTTGTAGAAGTTGTTGTTGTAGGTTCTGTAGATGGTGTGGTGGTTGATGTTGTAGTTGTAGGTTTGGCAGCAGTTGTCGAAGGCGCTGACGAGGATGTGGCTGCTGTCAGTCCGTCAGTCACCGCCGTGGGTTCCGTTCTGGCCATCGCCTCCTCTTCGTCCTTGGCTGCGTCGCCTCCAGAGCGGTCGATGAGGACGAGGCCCCCCAGGTGCTGCACGGCCTCCGGGTCGAGCACTGTGATCTCCGCCTGGGTGCTGCCCGAGGTCTTGGCACCACCGCTCTGGGGCGTTTCCTGGGCCCTAGTCGTGTCTGCATTCGATTTCTGGGCATCGGCAGCGCCTTGGTCTGCGCCTCCTTCCGCGGGGCTGTCGTTCCCAAGGTACTCTGAGAGGAACTGATCCTTCATCATCTCCAGCATCATGTCCACGCTGCTCGCATCCCCACCGAAGCCGAGCATGTCACTGGCCGGCGCAGAGGACGCCTGGTCCGCGCGATCATCCTGAACTCGATCCTGAGGAATCCTGACCAGGGAGCCGCTGGGCGTCAGCACCGTCTCGGAAACCAAGCCCTCGACGGCGAGGTTGTCCGTCACCGGTTCGGGCGAGCTGGTCGTGGGCGCGATGCCATTCGTGCCCAAGATGTTTCCGACGAGGTTGGAGATGCTGTCGACCGAGGCTTGGATCTCTGCTTCGGCTTGCTCCTTCTCGGGTTGCTTTACTCCTCCCTCCGCCTGTGGCGCCCCTGCGGGAGACTTCGGCTCCTCGGAAGAGAGGATCACAGAGTCGGCATCCCCTGTCATGGCCGCGACCCCTAACTGTTCTTGCTGCAGCTGCTGAACCACCTGCTGGATCTGGCTGATGACGCCCTCGTTTCCCTCGGAGTAGAGGATCGGAAGCACCTCGGGCACGCTCTCCGTGGCCGCCGCTGCCTCTTCGTCGGCCTTGGCCGTCGTTGGGCTCTGGTCGCTGGACTCGACCTTGAGCGTCGTAGCATCCTGAGCATCTGCTGTCAGCTGCGCGAGGAGGAACGGCAGAGAATTCTTGTCCTTGATTTCGGCGTTGCTGCCCCCGTTCTTGCCAGCTTCGCTGCGCAGCTCTTCCACCGTCTTAGAGACCAGGCTGATGACATCAGAGAAGGCACTGCTGACGTCCCCTTGGCCGGCAGTGGTAGACTGAGCTGGCGGCGCTCGGTCGGTCAACTCTCGCGATTTCGAGCTCCTCCTTGTGCGACTCAAGTCCAACTGGCGATAGGTTCCCGAGGGCTGTGTGACCTCCAGGTTTGTGACTTTTCTCGTGCAGGTGTCCTCGGCGCTCTTCGCCCTGTAGAGACATCGGAAAAGTTACCATTTAACGCCAGACACATCAGACACTAATTATCTATCTGCCCATGAGAGTGCTCCAAAAAACTGCGTTATTCTTGTTAATATTTCCTTGCAAAACTCTTTCGAGACACAATGGAAAAGGCAACACTCGAAAGTACCAAAAATAATGCAATCATATTTAAATCCAAGATTTGTCACAATGAGTTTCAGAAACATAACCTTACAACTAGCGACACCGTTAGACAGGCAAATACCACAGCAAAACAAATAACACAAAAAAATACATTACTAGCTAAACACAAGCAACCTAACGTGTCCGACCTTTCCAACTTGTCGAAACAGATGTCGTAGTTGAGACTGTCTGCAAAGTTGTCGTCGTAGTTCAGGGACCGGACGCGGGAGGACATCTTGCGGTGGTACTGCAGACAACCCTCAGGTGCTGGGGGGAAGGGAGGGTTTAGTGGTCTGGGCGAGATGTATGAAAGGATATTATGACCTTAATGAAAATGGTGTCGAAAGGGGGTTAAAATGGTTGCTATAGTTACAATGGGAATTGTTTTTTTTCTGTCGTTCGTTACAGTTGATCTACAGGACAGATATTGTTTACATCTTTCCTTTCGTTATGTCACAGTTTTACTTCCTTCTCCCCTCGCTGTACTGTACTTTCTCTCAATCACTCCTTTACTCATTCCCTCACTCCCTCCATTCTCCCCTCTTTCCCTCATGCACTCATTCCCTTCCTCCTTCCCTCACGCACTAATTCCTTCCCTCTCTCCCTCCCTCCTTCCCTCTCTCCCTCCCTCCTTCCCTCCCTCCCTCCTTCCCCCCCGTAGCCTAAACCAAACCAACCGCCCTTACCTTTATTACTCTCATCGACCTGTGTCACCAGAATGCGCCACTCTCGGTCCGGGTTGTTCCTGCCCAGCGTCTGTTGCAGCCTCACGTGCACCTTCACCTCGCTCTCCTCCTCGCCGACGTCCACGTACACTGGGTGGAGAAGTTCCCCGTGACAGTTACTTAGATGTTTGTGCGTGGCCTTGGCTTTTAAGTTGGGGGTGTTTGTGAGGCTATTTAGGATGTGTGTGTGTGTGGGTGGGGGGGGGGGGGTAGGATCATTGTTGGGGATTGCGTTTTTTGATGCGGGTATGGGTGTCATCGAATATATTATTACTAATGGTAGTAATGGCAGTAATAATAGCAGTAGTAAAAGTAGAATTATTATTATTAGTAGTAGTAAGAGTTACAGTGGTAGAAATTTTATTAGTAGTAGTATTAGTAACAGAAAGAGTAACAGTAGAAGCAGTAGTAATAGAAGAAGTAATAGCAGTTGTAATAGTAACAACAATAGTAGCATTAATATCAATAGTAATTGTAGTATTAATATCACTAGCTACAGCACCAGCAACGGCTGAAGCAGTGCTAGGAACAGGAATAGGAGAAGAGAGAAGAAAAGAGAAGAGATGAAGAAAAGAGAAGAGATGAAGAAAAGAGAAGATGAAGAGAAAAAAAAACAAAAAAAACAGAAAAAACAAATCAGCAATATATATACATATATAAACACCAAAATAACAACACTAACAACAAAAAGAGAAAAACGACCACCAACCATGCTGCCCCGTGTTGTCTCCGCAGAGGGACGGCACGACCTCCACTTCGCTCCGCCCCTTAGCACTCCTGCGCACCATCAGGGAGTCACTCAAGCAACGGCCGAGTCTCGGGCTCTCCAGCTGCAGCGCTTGGAAGTCCAGGCGCACTTGCTTCACCTGGAGTTGAAGGTTGAAGTTGTGTTATGTTTGTAGAAGGGGAGGGGGATGGGGAGGGAGGAGGGAGGAGGGAGGAGGGAGGAGGGAGGAGGAGGGGGAGAAAGAGGAGAGGAGGAGGAAAAAGAGGAGGAGGGGGAGGAGCAGGAGGAAGACCAGGAGGAAGAGGAGGAGGAAGAAGAACAGGAGAAGGAGGAGGAGGAGGGGGGGGGGGGGCGAGATCATAGATTGATGGATGGATGGGTAGGTGTATTTTCGTTTTCTGTTTATTCATTTATTCATCAATTCATCTATCTCCCGGTTTATCTACCTATCGTATATCTCTCTGTCTATCTACTTATCCTCTGACTATCTATCCATCTATCTATCCATACACCAACAATCTATTTTCACGTTTATTTATCATCAGTCTATTTCTCATCTGCCTATCTATTTACCACCTGACTATCAACCTACCTATACATACTTACCATCCATCCATCTATCTATCAAAAAAAAAACATAAACAAACACACGAAAAAAAGACTCACCCTTTTCGCGAACTTTTTGATCGTGATAACGCAGTCTCCCGCATCACGAGACTTTTTGGGAAAATCTTTGTTGACGAACCAAGTCCTGTTTCGGGCGACTATCCCGCCACACACCGCCGGGACTGCAAGGAAGGTCGAAAATCTTAGGTTTTATCAGAGCTAAATGACGCTTATTGCTCTGGAGCGTAGGTCTAGGCCCAGGGGAGGGAGGGATGTTCTTCGAGAAATTAAGAATATGATTATTTATTCTTTTAAAGGTATATTATTTATCGTTTATTAATAGTGGTTGAGACGTGATTAAATAACAAAAAGAATTAAACGACAATGAAAGAATAATCACCGTCATAAATAAACCAAAAAAATATATAATAAAAAAAACAATAAATAAATAAATAATTAAAAATAAGAATTAAAAACACAAGAGCAAAACAAGACACAAACAAAACAAAATAAACACAAACAAAGCAAACCAAATAGTCAAATCAAAACAAACAAACAGAAACCGAACCAGAAGACCAATACCCACCGACGCAGCAGACGCCTCCAGTGCTACACTTGCCCGAAGCCACGCCCCCGGCATCGCTACACGCCTGCTGGTTGTAACAAGTACCGATGTTTAGCAGGTTGTTACTGGCGATGCACTCGAGCGGTTCCACACGAGCCGGAGGAGGGAACAGGGAGAAGCCGACTGCGGAATGGAAGAAAGTCAGTGATATGGTGATGATGGTGATGATGATGATTGGTCACGGTGATAATAGTAGAGGTAGTAATAATAACGATGGTGATGATTGTCATAGTGATAATGATAGTAATAATAATAGTAATAGTAATAAAAATACTAATACTAATTGTAATAATAACAGTAATGATAATAATAACAGTAATGATGATAATAACTGTAATGATGATAATAACAGTAATGATGATAATAACAGTAATGATGATAATAACAGTAATGATGATAATAACAGTAATGATGATGATAACAGTAATGATGATGATAACAGTAATGATAATAATAACAGTAATAATAATGATAACAGTAATAATAATAATAATAGTAATAACTGGGGATAACAATGATAGTAATAATAATAATAATAATAATAATAATAGTAATAATAATAACAATAGTAATGATAATATTGATAGTAATAATAATAATAGTAGTAGTAGTAACACTAATAGTAATAACTGTGATGATAACAATGGTGATAATGATAATAACAATAACAATGATGGCAATGATAATGACAATAATCATAAAAACCATAATAATAATGATAATAATTACAACAACAATAAGAATAATAATTATTATTACTATCATTATCATTATTATGATCATTATAACAACAATAAAGATGATAACAACAATGATAACAATGATAATGACAATAACCAAAAAAACAAAATAATTAACAGCAGCATCGACAGTAATAATGATGATAATATGTATGAGCGCAGCATTTGATGAAAAGTAAAATACACGTTTTGGAAATCACAACAGAGAATTTATGCAAATGCCAATCAAAGTGCAAACCATTTTTTGACGATACACGCGAAGATAACCAGAAATCAGGTGATAAATTGAAAAAATAAAAAATAAAAACAAGGTAGCATAAATAGATAAATAGATAAGTAAATAAATAAATAAACATTAAACGTGAATATAATTATAATATTGCCCGAGGACACTCGCGCGCACAGCCAACTGCCCGCGATTTAAAAAAAATGGACGAAACGGTTACATTTATAATATCACTTTCTTGACACTGTAGTTATTTACGAGCTGTACATGATTGCTGTCAGAAGCGTTACCAACAAACGTAGAGTAGGAATTGTTAGTGTATCTTGTTCACCGCCAACACCTGGTATGCGTGGACCACTGACCTGCGTGTGTGTGTGTGTGTGTGTGTGTGTGTGTGTGTGTGTGTGTGTGTGTGTGTGTGTGTGTGTGTGTGTGTGTGTGTGTGTGTGTGTGTGTGTGTCTTCTTTGAGTGGACGAACATGCACGCACGCAAGCCAACACGCAAATACACATACATACATACATACATACATACATACATACATACATACACACATACATACATACACACACACACACACACACACACACACACGCACACACGCACACACAGTCTACGGAAGGAAAGGAAAAAAAATGGACCACTGGCATTTGGTTTCCGCGACTCACGCGAAGGAGAAAGAGAGAGAGAAAAGAGAGAGAGAGAGAGAGAGAGAGAGAGAGAGAGAGAGAGAGAGAGAGAGAGAGAGAGAGAGAGAGAGAGAGAGAGAGAGAGAGAGAGAGAGAGACAGAGAGAGAGACAGAGAGAGAGACAGAGAGAGAGACAGAGAGAGACAGAGAGAGAGAGAGAGAGAGAGAGAGAGACAGAGAGAGACAGAGAGAGATAGAGAGAGGCAGAGAGAGATAGAGAGAGACAGAGAGAGATAGAGAGAGACAGACAGACAGACAGACAGAGAGAGAGAGAGAGAGAGATATTATTTGGATTATTTGATAAAAAAGCTATTCTCTTATTCAGAAATGGGACATGATTCATCTATTTCTTCTAATCATCATGGCGGGTTTTCTTATTCGTTCTAAAGGTCACTCTAAAGTAACCAGAAAACATTTTTTTTAATTCTAAAAAAATATCTTATTACAATAAACACAAATTCGTTATTAATTTGAGTCTTTCAAGAGTTCCTCTTCAACTCTCCCCCCCACCCCCCACCCCGGCAGCGGCGTAACCATGGCAACTAGAACGATGTCGCCCATCTGTGTCACAAAAGGCGGGAATTTTTTTTTTCCTTGAAATTTGGAGCATTTTCTCCTCTGTTCTGGAAAATCGTGTG